TGAAAGTGGATGATCCTCAATTTTGTGAAGTTGCTAAGCAAGATGGGTTTGACATTCGGCTTATATGTCAACCACCCAATTCTCCGGATTTTAACATTTTAGATTTGGGGTTTTTTCGAGCCATTCAAGCAATTCAATACAAGAAAGATGCAAAAACAATGCAAGATCTAATTCCAGCAGTCGAAGAGGTAAACGATCATCCATTGCATTGATTAAATTGAACTTTAACAACTAAATGGAGTACTCATTGATTCATTTGTTGAACTCATGTTTTGTAGGCATTTTTGGAGTACTCTCCACGGAAAGCAAATCGGATCTTTGTGACACTACAAACTGTTTTGAAGGAAGCAATGAAGAAAAAAGGTTGCACCAAAATCAAGATTCCTCACATTCGGAAACAAGTACTAGAGAGGGAAGGAAGGCTGCCACTGCAAGTTCCATGTGAAGCTTCCTTGCTAGCCGAAGCACTAGCTAGCCTTCCTGCAGCAAATTAGGAGATGATAGAACATGTTAGCCGAAGCAAATTAGCCTTCCTGCAGCAGGAAGCATGTTTGAAGATGGTAGAACATTACTGTTTGCAAGAAGACATGTACCTTACTGTTCTTTGTTTGCATCTTCCAACTTTTTCGTATTGTAGATGTTACCGTCCAACTTCATTTGAACGTGCTCAGGTAGTAATATCGTGTTACCATTCATTTCAAGCTTGTCCACATCAGGGATAAAGATCTCACAATCAAATGGATCTATACGATAAATGATGCTTGATATGAGATCGTAGTCACTGTGAATAAGGCCACACAGCGTACACACTGCGAAAGCTTCAAGGTCTCGCTTGATAGTAGGCTTCTCCGAAGACGCCGCCGGCATGGAACATGCTGCGGTGAGAGATGCACACACCACCTTGTCGTCGGGCGCATCATCGATAGAGTCCGGGACCTCCATGACGGAGTCCGGGACCTCTTCGACGGAGTCCGGGACCTCCACGACGGAGTCTGGGACCTCTTCGACGGAGTCCGCGACGACCTCGACAAAGTGCGGCACGAACTCGACGGAGTTCGGCGCGATCTCGACGGACTGCATCGTCATCTTCGAGTCTAGCGCCATCTCGGCGTCCATCGTCATCTCCGCGTCCAGCGCCTCCTCCATGGCGCGAGCGACCTTCATGGCGGCGGACTCCTCCATGGCGCGAGCACCCTCCATGGCGGCGAGGAACGTCCGCGCAGCGAGGAAAACGGCAGCGCGAACTGAGGAACGGTGGCACGGCTACACTGCTTGACGGCGAGGAGCCCTAGACCCTAGACTGCTCGACGGCGAGGAACTGTGGCGAGGCTTCTACTGCATTGATGAAGGGAGGCGAGAGGAAGGCAGTGTGTGGCAGTAGTAGTACTCGGTTGATTGATTCAACGGGCAACGAAACAAACGATGCAGCGATGATTAGTGCTCTGGGCGGCGCTTGCGATAAACGAAAGCAATTAAGGCAGGCCAGCCGAACAGACCGCAGGGGCAAACAAGTCCACGGACGGGGTCACAAAGCCACAACGTCAAGTTTCGCAAAAACTACGTATACGCCCAGGACGTCCAGTTTTTCAGTATGGAGGGAGTAATTCTCTGTGAGCCTCTGAAAAAGTTTAGCGGTCTTCAGCGTCACTGTTCCAATCTTTTTTTTTTGACCTCTATGCCACTGTCGTTAGATTGAACTCTAACGGTGTCAAACTGCAGGTATGAAAGTCGAAAATACCCTTAAGTCTAAATATGTCATTAATTTTTTTAAGCATCTTAACGACTTCAAATGAAAAAACTCAAAACTAGAAAGTTGTATATGGTCTTCAAATTCTTTGATCTATAATTTTATAAAAAGATTATCTTCATTTAATTCCGCAAAAAAAGATATGATTTGATATGATTAATATATCTTTAAATATATTAATCATATCTTTTTACTTTTTACGATTAAAAGAAGATAATTTTTATATGAAAATTATAGATCTCGACGAGATCTACAACTTTCTAGTTTTGAGTTTTTTTATTTGAAGTCGTTAAGATGCTCAAAAAAATTAATGACATATTTTAACTTAAGGGTATTTTTGATTTTTTTTCACACCTGTAGTTTGACACCGTTAGAGTCTAATCTAACGGCAGTGGCATGAAGGGAAAAAAATTGAAGCAGTAACGTTGAAGACCGCTGAACTTTTTTCGGTAACTCACATGAAATTACGATCTTTTTCTAATTCTCTAGAGAGATTTCGGTCGTAGGGGAGTAAGGATGAAAACGGTCGAACTCGGTCGAAAAACTCTTCAACCGTTTTCTAATTTTACATTTGAAATACGAAAGCGAAAGCGGACAAGCCACACACAAAAACGAACACGAACTTACGGAATATCTAGAATTTCGGAAACAAACCAATTCGAGCGGAATTATATCAAACACGGTCGGTATGCGAAAATTCAATACGAAATACCAACCCACAGTGCATAGCATTAAACAAGTGCACGACCAAATACATAATAAGTTCACAACTAACAAATGCATGATCTAATTCAAGTGCATAACATTAAACAAGTGCACGACCAAATACATAATAAGAGAGATGAGGCTGGGCGCCGTCTATAAGAGAGGGCAGTTAGCCACCAGTAGAAAGAACGCAATAAGCGTGATGATCAACTGTAATTGGGTCAGATGACCTGACCTATGATTGGCCAAAATCGGTTTAAACCGAATTTTGAATTCGGAATATTTCAAATTAAAAGTAGAAAAGTAGAAAACGGTCGAAAAATGTGTAAACCGTTTTCTACTTTTACATTTAAAATATGAAACATCTTAAATGCGAAAGCGAAAATAGTAAAGTCGAACAAAAAATACGGATTCGATCGGATTAAATATAGAAAACGATGCGGTTCGGTTCGAGATATTTCCGTTTTCATCCTTACAGGGAGCGCGTATACGAAGCCGCCGCGTGTGAACGAAACCTCCTCTCTTTTTAGGCGGTACTATATACTAGATATGTGTGCGTTTGGCAAGCTGAATCAATTCTCAGCTGGAGGAAGCAGAGTAGGTCCACGCGGTTGTTACAGGAGTCGATCTGCAGGTTTCTCTTTGGCTCTAGTTTTTCAAGGTTATCGAACGTTAACAGCTATAGCGGTGAATTCTTGAAAAATTTTCAAACAGTTGGTTTCCAACGAAATTGATTGTTTTCTGCAATGGGTTTCTCTGTATGATCAGTCGAATACTCTCGAAAGACAACCTGGAGAGGGTTTCGAGCTTGCCACTTCTGTTCCAGAAGCTCATTGAAACAGATTTGTGCACAAATTATTCAGTAGTGTTTCTTATTTCAACATGTGAATAAGCATAACTATTACAAGCAGTTTTGCACCCATTGACGTAAGATAAGTAGATAAAATTTGCTTCGTGGCTAGCGCCCGAACGTCCGGACGCAAACCTCCGTCCAGACGCAGAGCCGCGCCACCTGCTGCGCCCATCCCGCCTGCCACGCATGCTGCTAAGCTTGCCCCGCTTTTTTTTTAAAAAAAAACTGCCCTGCATGCAACTCTGCGCCTGCACGTCCGCGCTTGCATGGCGCATGCAACCGCTGTGCCAGCCCACTCGCACCTGCATGCTGGTGCGCCTACGCATACAGTTGTGCGCCTCATGCCTGCTGATGCGCGCCTAGTGCCTAATGATTTGCATGTAAGTGGGGACCATCCACGCCCGCTTCACTTGGCGCTCATGTGGGGACCACTGTGCCCGCGGGGACCGTCTCAGCATATGTGCCCGCTCTCTACGCCTGCTAATGTTGCAACATGAAGCACTTCTGCAACATACGTCTAAAATAGGTGAAACATTTGCAACATATGTGTATAGCACCTTCAACATATGCAACATCCAGATAAAATACTTGCATCATATGTTTGAAACATATGATACATTTGAATAGACGCTTCCAACATATGTATATAGCCATTGAAACATATGCAACATCAAAAAAAACATTTACAATATACATCTAAAACAGATGAAACATTTGAAACATAAACTTGCAATATACCCTGTGTATAGTCATTGCAACATATGCAACATTCAGATGAAACATATACAACATCTAGATGAACACACATGCAATATTCAGATGAAACATATGAAACATACGTATAAAAGCATGAAACATATGGATGCAACATGCAGCCCAAAGAGGGTAGTTGACGCTGCGCGAGGCACGGATGGTGCAAGGCACGAGGCGTGGAGCGCATGTGGCGCGAGGTAGGTCCATTACGACCGTGGGAGGCGCGAGGTGCAAGGACACACGTGGCGCGAGACGGATCCAGTGCGACCGTACGAGGCTGGAGGACCGTACGAGGCTGGAGGCGCAGGGGCGCACGGCAAGAGACGGATCTGTCCCGTCCGTCCGGACGGACGTCCCCAAGGAACATTAACGTAAAATTTGTCTTCCACACGGACATTTGCGGCTGCGGTTTCTTATTGATGTTCACTGGACAGCACCGCATGCCAGGTGATGAGGCGAGCAAATCCTGACGATCGACGTGATCAGAAGACGGACGATCGGTTGACTTGCAGGTTTCGGGTTAGAAAAAAAAACCGCGGGCCGGGAGTGGATATAAAGGCCGCGGGCGGAAGTATTGCCGGGCCGGCTCGCCTCCGAGGCGGACTCGATCGAGAGCATGTCCAGGACGTGCTGGGTTTGCAGTTGGATAAGATTATGCGTCCAAAAGGATTGAGCCCATCACCATTCACCTCACGAGAGCTAGCATAACCAGGTCCAGGTGTCACTCACGTGGGCCGCATGCTGCCGCGTCAGCCCACTCTTGCTGTCTCGCATCCAAGTCACAAGTGACAGTCTGACACCAGGCGGACTCTCCCTGTCACGCGACTCGTCTCGGCGTGCTACGACAAGCAAAGCAAAGCAAAGCCAACGGAGCCCAGCGAGACGACGAGACAGCGATTACCAGCTAGCTAGTTCGGGCAGCGAGCGGGGTGACGGCTAGCTATGGCGTGCTACTCCGCCGTCCTTCAGCATCCGCTCGGCTCCTCTCTCACCCCGTGCTCCGCCTCGCGAACCCCACCGCGCCTCCAGCGCGTGGGCGTGGCAACCCCCTCGGTCGCCTCCGCCCGCCCTGTTGCCCGCGTCAGGATCTCCCCGCGCTGCGCCTACTCCGGCGGCGCCGGCGCCACTCCTGGGCCGGGGGAGCTACCCGCGGCGACGCTCCGTCGGGTCCTGGAGGCGCCGGGTGCGCACCAGGCGCCCGCCTGCTACGACGCGCTGAGCGCACGCCTCATCGAGCGCGCGGGGTTCAGAGCCTGCTTCACGAGCGGTACGTGCTCGATCTTTTGTCTCTACGGTAGCAGGGGGCTACTTCTCGATCTCGCCATCCGAGAGAGATTGCCTAGTCACACCCTCCATTTGGGGAACGTTGCAATGATCTTTTGTCAACTGTGTTTGTGTATGCCTGCGGTGCACTGCTGATAGGAAAGGAGGATGCATGAATCTTCACTGAAACTCACACTTTCCGTTGCAGGTTTCTCAATCTCTGCTGCACGACTTGGATTACCAGATGTTGGTCTCATCTCGTACGGGGAAATGATTGATCAGGGGCGTCTAATCACTGAAGCAGTTTCAATCCCTGTGATTGGTGATGCCGATAATGGTTACGGAAACTGTATGAATGTCAAGAGGACAGTGAAAGGATTTATTAATGCTGGTTTTGCTGGAATTATTCTTGAAGATCAGGTATGCTTATCAAGTGCTGCAGATAATGGTTACATAGCTATTCTCGAAGATCACACATTGGTTTTGGTTATTTCCTCTATCCTCTATGTTGAAATTACTGTTTAGAACTTGCAATTTCTGGACCCAAAAATGTAAGTGATGCAGTTGTAGCAATTGTTGTAGTCTGGACTCTAGAGTAGGATTCACATCACAATCAACCAGTGTTTAATTTCTGTATTTATCAAATTGTAAAGCTATGTAACCTTTACTGATTATGCATGGCATCATGATAGCTCGTTCTGTTCCCTTTCTTGAAGTTCCTTTTATAGTGATATGATATATAGTATTCTGAAGGTGTCACCAAAAGCATGTGGACATACACAAGGAAGGAAGGTTGTCTCAAGGGAGGAAGCAATTATGCACATAAAAGCTGCTGTTGATGCCAGGAATGAGAGTGGCTCTGATATTGTTATTGTGGCTAGGACAGATTCTCGTCAAGCTTTGTCTCTTGATGAAGCATTATGGAGAGTACAGGCCTTTGCTGATGCTGGAGCAGATGTTCTATTCATTGATGCCCTTGCCTCAAGAGAAGAAATGAAGGCATTTTGTGCTATCGCACCTGGAGTTCAAAAAATGGTTAGATATGTTCTGTGCATCAGTGTTTTCTGGTTTTCGATATACTTGCAATGCCTTCATCATACTCTTGACTCTACTGCAGGCCAACATGTTAGAAGGCGGTGGTAAAACTCCTATACTGAGCCCTGTTGAACTGGAAGAAATAGGTTATAAAATCATAGCCTATCCATTATCTCTAATTGGCGTATCGATGCGTGCAATGGAGGTTTGTTTTCATTTATATATGTGAATAGGATGATTGCTTTTCATTTATACATGTCATTATTTCATTGCATGACTAACTGCATCCCAAGGGATCATGCACATTGATTGCCATTAGCATTTGGGCAAAAGGAAGGATATCTTTCAAAAAAAGGGAGGGGTCAGCATTTGTGTATGCATGTCATGACCTGGTGGCATAGAAGCAAGCATGAGCCCTTGTGTAGTTGTTAAATTTGCTGTGCAGATATTTGCTCAATTTCCACAATGAACTGAACTGTGTAAGATGCATGACCTGCAATGCACTCTGCAGGATGCTCTAATTGCTATAAAGGGTGGTCGCATACCTCCTCCAAGCAGCTTGCCATCATTTGAGGAGATCAAGAATACTCTTGGGTTCAACCACTATTATGAAGAAGATAAACGATATGTGGTGACACCAGCCCAATCATTTTACGAGACTGGTATGGAACTTAGGACTTCATTCTACGTTGAATATGAATGAATTCATTTAACCTGCAACTCCTCAATTGTAGGCTATGATAATTATACAAGTGAACCAAAAAATCCAGGAGATTCCAGGTCCAGGGCTGAAAAACCACAAGAACCTGTTATTGACATATTGCCTCAGCTCTATGATATTGGTTCCAGTGGCAGCAGAGGACCTTCAACTGGAATGTGGTCTCGAACTCTTCGACTAAAGATTACAGGAAGAGATGGAGTCCTGAAAATTGATGCCAGGATACCTGTAAGTAATCATTTCCTCGACTCCAGTGCTCAGTATCTGGTAGTGAGATTGAAGTTTCGATAAACTCACTTAAATTGACAGCTTGACATGGGACATATATGTGCTCAGTTGCTATATTGTTTCTTAATCCTATTTTCTGCAAATATCCTGTAATCTACTAACTCGAATACCAATTAAATGGTTACTCCCTTTAACTTCCCTTTTCTACCACAGGCTGGGTTCTTAGAAGGGATGACAAAAATTATTCCAGGTTTGTATTATATTCTTAACTGAACCATGATTCTGTAAATGTGATTGTATTTTCAAAAGAGAAAAAGGGAATCTGTAGATGCACTTGTTTATGTTTCATGTGACAATCTCCTTTTGGACATTATTATGCAGGCTTGGCTGGAGCTAATATCATGGAAAGGCTTCGGAATGCGCCTATTGATACAGACAACCCCCAGAATGGTCAGATACTGCTTGATTTTGAGGACGCCATGGGAGATAGGATCCAGGTGTTCATTGCATGAGCTGATTGTGCTGTCTTTGCTGGAGTGCTTGTACACAGCAAACTCTGAAAGCATGGGCGTTTCAAGTAGCATCAGGGTACAGGCATCTTGCTAATTAGTGCAATCCTATCTAGGAGTTGAATTAGATAATTTGGACATCAGTTATGCCTGAGCAAACTAGTATTTACAAATGGGAGACTTGTTCCTGTACATTGAGGCTGGCTGTACATCATTGGGATTCCATTAAAACACAGCTGGGGACTGCGGGATAGGTTTCTCCGTAGCCTTGTTTCTGTGTCTGTGTTGAAAAATCCTGAAGTTGATTGGAAATAAAGAAGTAAACTCTTGTTGAGTTATGAAATACTGCCTCTTTGGCTCAACTTATGATTTACCAAACAACGGTGACTGTCATCGATCCATATCTGAATCTCGCGGGATCGTCCATTATACCGTAGTACTACTTTATGTTACACAGTATACCACTATACTAAGATGGAATCCTGCTTCTGTTGTAATCCTTCTTTATGTTACATACACGGTATAACACTAGTATACACACACAACCGAATAACTGCATATTCACCGGCAATTCCCCTGCTGAGGTTGACGCGCTCCAGCTACTGCTCTAGGCTAGCTTGAGCTGTCATGCTTCATCCAACAGATCTCGGGCGTTGTTGCTCTCCTTGCCGCCGCCTCTCCCGTCTCACTGGTACTTGCAACCTCTGGGGAGGCAGCCAGTTGGGTTTCAGCAACCTTGACTACACCCGTGCTCGGCATGGCCTCCATGGTTTCAGCAGCGTTTGCCTCGATCACCCCCTAGGCGGGTTGTTCGGCGCCTGATACAGTGATACTTCAGAGTTCATCGGGGGCTCCGGGCTCCCTCGCCCTCGTCAGAGCTGGGTTCTTGCTTTTTCTGCCTCGTCATGCACCGCTTCACTGTACGCAGGTTTCGCGGCATCGTCATCATCCAGCCTTTCAGCTTCCGGAGACGCGCCCTCGCGCATCTTCTCCACGTCCCGCTGCACGGCGCCTCCCGCTTCCTCGTCCCTGAACACGCTGCCGGCGCCCCTGACATCACGGATTCACGGCACACTTGTTCCGCCAGAACGAGCCCCGCCGTGACCGAAAATGTTCTGGTATCACCGGCGGCACGCCAGCACGTACCCACCCTACCTATACTCCTATAGCCGTTCGATGCATACATGGCGTGCTACTGTATAAACAAATTAATGCGGGTAGTTCAGCGGCTCAGTGAATACGGCAAGACCATTTCACTTTTCGCTGGAATATCACTGTTCGCTTTCCCATTCTTCGTATCTCTGTTCACACACACTGCCTTATGCTCCTCTTCCGTGTGAAATGTTTCTTCAGCCTGTTGCTCGATCTATAACTAGCCATGCCCTCTCCAATCAGTTGCCCTTCCGTTTCGCAAGCTCAACTCCGAGATGAGCTCCCCCTGGAAGCAGTTCGGAGGCGCGTGCCGTCAGACGCGACCGGCTCAGCCTAACCCTAGCCTGATTCGAGCAACATTCCGCCCAGATGCTGATTCAGCGTTCAAATCATTGGTGAGTGAATCCTTGTTTGCCTTATTTCTTATTTCATTTCAGTTTACCGCTTTTGCATGCTTATTCACCCCCGTCCAGCGCATGAACTTAATTCTTACCGATTTCAATATATATGTAATCTGAGCTTAGTTGCCCTCTCTCACATTAATATCTTGACAGGAGCCGAATCGAGCTTATCTGCAACCCACTCTGTGCGTCGATGGGCTTCTAGACATGCCTTCTCAGGTTTGTTACAGCCTTGACACCCTCTGATTTTATTCCCTTCTGATGATCATGCTTATTTGTTTTGACACATACCACATATAATCCTCAATGTAATGCTTATTTCGCGCATTTTATTCCCTGAGTGGGTCATATTTTCCCCTGCATCCAGTTTTGGTGATGTTTATTTGTACCCGCAGGGATGCACAAATAATCCTCAATGTAATGCTGGAATTCATGCTGGAAACTCACCAGCTCACTCTACTAGCATAGACCCCGGTTCGGTTTCATCTCGTTGCTCAGTCAGACTTATACATGATATTATATCAAAATTCGGCCCAGAAAAGGTTGAGTTGGTTAGGTCAATTGGGTTCGAAGGACTCCTGCACCTACCATTACTGAAGCAGAACAATCTCTGGTTTTCAACTTGGCTTATGAGTAGAGTTGATGAATTGTCGCAGACTCTCCTTATCGCAGATGGCGCCCGTATTCATTTCAATAAGGCTGATGTTGCTAGGGTCTTTGGAATACCTGCCTCCAGAAGGAGTATATTTCACAAACCAGGCATTCTTTCTATTCACAATTCAACCTTGGTCACACTGGACAGCCCCATAAATACTAAGCACCTATGCAGTATTAAGGTTGCACAAGGCATTGTGGCCAGGGACCACGAAGGTCCCATGAGCACAACTGAGCAGGATGAGTTCAAAGCAGCTTTGTTGTTTTTGTAATGTCAACGCTGCTGGCGCCTTGCACAAAGCATGACTGTGTTTCCGATGACTATTTGCATACCATTGAACAACCTGGCCAGATATGTTCCTATGACTGGGCTGAGTATGTTATTCGATGATTACTTGATGCGGTGTTGAAGCTGAAGGCAGATATTGCTAACAATGTCAAAGTGCCGTACATTTATGGATGCTCACTGTTTCTGCAGGTATCTTTACTGATCGAATCATACTATCCTTCATACACCTAAGCGTTCTATTTTTTAACTAGTACCTCGTAATCCAATTGCCGTGTGCCTACATCGTCATCTATCCATTCTACTATGTAGGTTCTGTACCTGGACAGTATTGACTTAGGGGTACTATCGATGGAATATAATATTCCCCGGATTCGTTGCTTCACATCTGACCAGCTCAGGTCCATGATAGCTGCTGATAGCTCTTTCTCGGCTAATGGTTGTGATATGGTTGGTTCGCGGAGGACCAAGGTGCACAAATACTTCTCTTCTGATGTTTGCTTAATTAACACGCATTATACACCCTATGTCTCTATTAACAGCAACTACTCTACTTTTTTTTTTGCCTTCCCTTCTAAAAGCTGCGGCCTGCTATTGGAATTTGCTATCATTGGGCCACACCCCAGAGGTCCAATTTAGGTTCTCCCAATCAATCTGGCATGTTAGCGTTGTGTGAGGCTTCTGTTCTGATGTCTCGTATCCTTAAGATCCCCCCTGAGGTTGGTTGTTTTTTTTAACACGAATTTTTGTTAACCTGTATTTCAACTCCAACAAATCAATTACCCTTTTGTCTTTGTTCATCATGGTACCTTGAATATATTGTCATCAAATATTTTTTTTGTTGACCACAATGTATTACATAGGCTGCAGGTCCTCTATTTGTCGCTGCAGCAGATTTCCAAAGGCAAATAAGTTCCGCAGTTGGTACTGAGGCTCTAAAGTTCATGAGTGTATTACTCCACATCATGGAACCATATGTCAATGGATTCAGCTACCAGTCTTCCATTAATGCACATTCTCCGCCCCTTGGTATTACCACGCTACCTTACAGAAGTTTGGGACTTTTTTTTGCATATTGTCATATGTATTTGCATTCACACAATTTTTTGCGTGCTAGTTTGCTACTGTCAATTTATATATATTGTAGCCCTTACTCTTTGCTAATCTTATATAGTTATATGCAGACCTGTGTTCTATGGGCCACCCACATGTTTGTAGCTACGCTGAATGTTGTACCCATTTTTCCACAATTAGGTCCAAGAGAAAGTCCATTGTGTGCACTCAGATTGATGCAACCATTAACAAGCGCCAACACATGATTAACAACAATGATCCACTGAATCCTGAGTTGCCCCCTGGCAGTTTTCTAGATGCTGGGGACCGTTGTATCAATGCAACTGACGTCTCTATTCAAGCTGTTCTTAATAGGCACGACATTGACATCAGGGCCATTAATGCCATGGCTCGATTTTATCTCACCCTTAGGCCTGTAAAAGCAACTCGCTGCACTGATCTAAACACAAGGCCTCATGGTGATGACCTCGCAGCCACTGCCTTCCATACCAGGGCTGGACACCCTCTCCCTGGTCCACGGTCACCTTGGGATCTTGGTTGCAGATACACTATTGATCTGGTTAAGGCATCTGATATACACAAGAAGCTTAGCTTCGTCGAAGACATTGATGAGTCTGTTTTCCTCTCAAACCTTCCGTGCTTCAATTTTCATTTTTTGTCCAATTACCTTCAAATCAGCACCAATGTGCGTTGTACATCCAATTTCTAACAGTTTAATCCCGTGAAATGCAGGCCATGGATTGTACACTTCTGCCCCAAATACATTGAAGTGCTAACCTGCGCGTTTAAGTCTCAGTTCCTAGGCAATTTGGAGTTGGAAATGGAACTGGTCGACGCTGTTATCCGGCGTTATAAGCAGGTTGATGATGAATTGTATGCTCATGAAGGGCCTGCATGCTGGAGGCACTTTGTTGAATCGGATTTCATAGTGCGTATATGTTGTATCGTTTTTCATCGCTTCCCTGTAGGCTCGTATTCGTTGTTTCCATCCTCACCGAGCCATCTAAACACCATGTCCTTGAACTCCATGCCCTATTCTGATTTCTTGTTCATCACCAATTCAGACCTTTCCATTTTCATTCTCTTGACAGGTTTCTTTGTTAGCTGGGTGGTTCGGCTCTACGCTCACACTTTTGCGGACGCCATATCTGTTATGATGTTACTGCTTGCCAAATTGTAAGTTGAATGTTCCTTTTTTCTCAACACACTACTCATGCTCTAGGGTTATCGCACTCCTTACCAGTTCGGTTTGTGTCCCTACTGTTTGTTTTTCTATGCATTCTTCAGCTGTTCTTTCCTGTTCTTCTTCAATATCGGTGGGTATGTTTTGCCTGGCGGATGCATGACAACACTATTGTCGTGTACGATCCGTGCATTTCAGCGCAAGCGTATACTGTTGCATTAACTTCTTATGAGCATGTTGCGAAGCTATTAAAATCTGCAATGATGCTAGTATCTACCACAATACCCCAAGGCTGGCGTTATGACTGGGAAGACGCCCGCTTAGAGGTTTTCCATGATCACGCCTGCATTCCTACATGGTTAGTATGAGTCGTGCCGCACCCTTTTTTTTTCTATGCAATTCACACCTTTTTTTATCCACGTCTTATTTAACCAAGTTTCCTTACCACATTTGTTCCAACCACAGTCCTAATCGGACCGGTCTCCTTTGTCTACACTTCTGTCGATGCTTTAATGGCCAGCAGTTACTTCCTCCTCTAGACGCGGTACTTATCAAGAACATTCCCTTTGCTTTCGCAATGAGCATCATCATTTATTGGACCATGGCACACATCTTCCAATTTTTCCAGTAAACATTTTTTCAATTTCGTCCGCGCTTCCTTTAGTCTCATCTAATGTATTTTTCTATGATTACAATCATATTAGGGACATGTGCAAGATTGGTCTGCTATGCTCCTCGCAGAGGTCTCGTCCCTGGCCGGCAAGTTTGGCTCAGTCCCCCCCATGTTTCGCTAGCATGATATCTGGCGTACTTTTCCTTCAAGCAACGAGCACCTGCATGTACAACCATATCCATTAGATCCAGAGACTGGGCTTCCGCTCGAACCAAAAATGCTGGCAAGAGGTTCTTCGAGTGCTCCCAGGAACAAGGAGAAGGTCCGGCCATGTTTTTAACTTACTTTTATTAATTATGTTGGGCGCCCCAGTTGATTTTTATTTGTACTTCACTCTGTTTTGTAATTTGTCCCTTTTTCCTCCCAGGACCCGTCATCATGCCCCAAGCTACTACTTCCAATCTTAGTACGAGGATTATCTCGGCGTCCTCGGCTTGTTGGGACCCGGCGTCAATGAAGCTCAAGTTGACAGCCATAGCGGCATAGCGTTGCACAGCAAAGCTCTGCCTATGATCTAGGTTCAGATACACAGAATCAGCTGCACGCCATCAAGGACCAACTCGATGAAGTCAAGCTACGTGTTGACGGGCTTTCTCGCCACGATGTGTTTTGGTACCGGCATATTTGTGTTCGGCGCCGTCCTTGTGTTCTTAGTTGCTGCCATCATTGTCCTGTTTGCAGTCTTGATCTATCTCGTTGCTGCAAACTAGACGACTTAGCACGTCAAGGCATTCTATAAGGTTTCACTCCCAAATCTATGGACTGAATCTCAAACTTATGTGCCATTTATCTTCAAAAGTTCAATCGTGCTATTCGCATATCGCTGTAGTGCTAGCATAGTCATTTTCATTTTGCATAATCTGGGACTATCACAGGTTTTGGCCTCGAAAACGGGCTTTTCCTTTCTGGATTTACCTTGGAACAAAAATAGCTCAGGTATTTTTGAATACGTAAACTGGTACATCACGAAGGATGCAACCTAAGTCACCCTGGGCACTTTTCAGCCGAAAACCGATAACCGACCCGAACCGAACCGAGCCGAGCCGAAGTTTCGGTTTGTTCGGTTTTCGGTTTGGTTCTCGGTTTTGCAATCATCAAAGTTCGGGTGTCGGTTTCAACATGGAATTGAACCGAAGCACCGAATGACCGAATTCATCTCCCCTGTCCCTGTGCTACTACCCTGCTTCTCTCCGTCCCACCCTCCCACCTTACCCAACCTCGTAGTTGCAGCCCATCTCACAAACACAAGAGCCTTATCCGTAGGAGCTCTCCCATCCCGGTCTGTCTTCCACGAGTTCGTCCGTTCCAATAGAAAATGCAGCGGCGGCGCCGGTGCCAGGGGCGGGATGCGGGGCTGCAGCAGTCGACGAGGCATCCTATGGCCGGCGCGGCGCGGTCGCGTGAGCGAGCTTGCGGGCGGCGGCGCGAGGGCGAGGCGAGGTCTCAGCGACGGCGGTGCGAGCGCGAGGCGAGGTCTCAGCGGCGGCGGCGCGAGCACGAGGCGAGCTCGGGGCTTCGGCGGCGCGGCCGTGACCGTGAGGCATGCTAGCAGCGACTAGGTGAGCGGCGCGGTGAGCGACGGACCCTGCGGATTTGTTCTTCCCGGTTCTGGCATTTTCCTTTTCCCTTTCGATTTGTTCTTCTCTGTTCTCACTTCGGTTGGATCGGTTGAACCAAAAAACCGAACCGAGTAAACCGAAGCTGAAATCGTCGGTTTTCGATTCTATAGAACACCGATCGGTTGCTGATTTTTGGAAACCGAAGTTCACAGCAACCGAACAAACCGAACCGATTTGTCGGTTAACACCGAATGCCCACTCTGAAACCTAAGTACCGAAAGCGGGCTTTGCAGGATTTTCCCTGGAAACAGTATATCTCAGGTATTTCTGAAGACGTAAACTCATCATCACGAAGGATGCAACCAAGCTTTAAAAGCATCTAGCAGGCTGCAGGCATCAGTGGAAGCAGGTCTGCTCTCCTGAACTATGTCCTTCGGTTGATAAAAATTGTCAGGCATCAAACCAACAGAGATTAAGATACAAGGTGTTGATGATTACTCGACACCAGATCACAAAACATTCGATAAGGTGCAATTAAGTTCGCTCATTCAATTGAGTAGCAAAACTTCCAAGGTGCAAAAGACAGGTATGTAATCAACGGCCCCAATAGTATTCAAACTTGCAAACAAGTGCTTTGCCTTAACGGCAGGATATCGCAGAGCACGAATAAAACCTAACATCCAGCACGGAAACGACACTCACAAGTCCAACCATAGTATGGAAGAAAAAAAAGGAGCAATACTGTAATGTGCCAGATAACCTCTGGAAACACCACTCAATTGCAAACTTAAGATAGTTTGTTATGGCTTTCAAAGTTAGGAGATAATGCCTTCGGTCAGTGATAATGTGGCAAGCTGACTGGTCGGGGTGTTTGGGTTTTGCTGGTGGGCCACGTTGCGGAGAACATCCATCGCCTCAGCAACCTTGGACTTGAGAGCATCAGGGGACTCGAGCAGGTGGAGGACCTCAGTCTGATCCATCTCCAAAAGCATTCCAGTGACCTTTGCTGCTTGGTTTGGTTCCAGTTGCTCAACCAGTGGGTATAGGTTTTCACCAAGTATCTAGATGAAAAAAAAAGTTCATGATAAGGAAAAAAGAATTTACATTATAGGATAAAAGTATCAATGCAGTAGCTGTTAATGCTTTTAAACCTACAAAACAATCAGCAGAAGCAGAAAGACTACGGCAAGTGAACTTGATTTTTTAAGGTCAAAATGGATGATAAACCAATCAACTGAATACCAAGTGCTAGATACTATTGACTATGCAGTAGAAGTTGACACCAAACAGGGACATACCGTTCTTTGCTGCTCAGGATTAGCATTTGCAAGGGCAGAAGTCAGAGTCCCAATTTGGGCGGCCGGTGATAAGGCTGCATCTCTCACAGGGAAGCCTCCCATATCATATGCCTGGATCATACCTCCAGCAACCCCTGGCATCGCCGGAGCTTCAGGCATATTGCGACCAGTTGGGTAACGGTACATCCGTCCTCGCGGAAGAATCTGAGAATCATTACAAGATACATCACTTCACTTTCCCCCATGGAACAATAGCCAGAACTGTCCCATCCACCGGACAGCACAAAGGTGTAGATGTCAGGAGAAAAAGGAAGCATGGTGGAAACTGAGCACAACAAAGGACTGGACCATAACTGGCCAACAATCTTAGCGAATCAAATTTCCTACCACGTTAACCATTTTCCACTGACAAAGTAGCATCCTAACCACCCAAAATCAGTATAACTTTGGAAATTTGATGGGAAAATACCTGCTGCTGAAATGGCGGCACAGGTTGCTGGCCCTGGGCTCCAGCTCCACGCCTCATACCTGGGCGTGGACCCTGTTGGCCCTGTTGGACAACTGGAACAAAGTAATTTGGCATATGGGGACCACCAGGCCTCATGCCTGGAACAAGCTGTTGCTGGAAACCAAATCCTGGCTGGAAGAAAGTGCAAATACCATCAATATCCATTTAGTTCAGCACATTAGCTAACATAATTAAAATGCTTCATGCAACATGAACAGACAGGACTACCATTACAAACTGGTTGCCAAATGAAGAATAAGATTTGCAAATTGTTTCTTGCATTCAAGCTAGGATTAATATAAAACAGGCCATAAAAGAGTCAGCATAGCATCACTACAACAACCAGAACATAAGATAGAGTAAAGCACTGATTACTACTTGCTGCCAACAACATATTCTCCGCGTACAAGGGAAAAAATAATGAACATTCGACGCATGTTGCTAACCAACTGAAGGTGAGAGGACCATTATGTGCAACAAGCTTCATAATGTAGATAGAAATTGTTAATTGTTAACCCAGGCTGCAAATACCAGTGCTGGTTGATCTTGACAAAAGTTACTGATTCTCGTGTTAAATGACTTCTTTTAGGGGAATATTCTCGTTTTAAAGGCTGTAGACAAAAAAAAAAACTTGACCACCAGGGGAAAGAACATCCCCACAGCGTTGCATTTTTTTTAAAAAAAAAAGTGTAGATATGGATTTAATCTGAGGGTAATGTTAAGACGAAAATAAAAGAAAATAGAGTGTTCATGGTACCTGAGGGGGTATCATAGCTGGCGGCGCTTGTCCATAGAAGAGTTGCTGAGGAGCCATAGGAGGGTACATTGGAAGGCGAGGGGCTAGAGTGGGTGTCATTGGTACAGCAGGGCGCATCTGAGAAAACTGTGCCTGGGTAATATAGGATTTGTAAATGTCAGCAAAATAATATGATAGATAGTCTGAAACTGCAACAGTTTTGTAAATATTTTAACATATTTCACAAGGAAATAATTTTCAAGAACAGGTCGTTTATCAATGAGTTTAGTACAAAAGAAGACATCATTATCAGAACAATAGGAGGCCAAAACCCTAAACCCTAAGCCATGCACACTAGTATGCCCCTTTAGACCAAACAAAATGTATAGATTCTGAACTCTACTTCAAAAAGTTCCAGAAGACATTTTAAGGTTGAAAAGAACTTTTTTCTGGAGATATTACATTTTGAAGTTAAAATAGATGAAGAGCACCTATTATCATGAAAATAGAGATGATTCTTTATAAGGTCAATGTTTCTTTGGTGCTTCAACATTGTTCGAGATGACAAACAGTCAATCACTTCATACCTCTTGTTTCAATGAGAAGTTGTAAATAATTTTATGTACCAAATCTATAGTAAACACTCATGTCTATTTTCAAATTTGATATTAGCACAACAAATTCAGCTGTTAGGACACTTACCTGCAACATCGCTTTTCTATCTTCTTTGCGCTGTGCAAATGCAACATACAATGGTTTTCCAGATATCATTTTGCCATTCATTTCAGTTAACTGTAAAGAAAAGAAAAACATGTCAACAACATGTGACATAAATAAAATAGATAATGCAAAATCCAGGAAGTGAACTTACAGCCTGAGATGCTTCCTCACGAGTTGAGAAAGCAACAAATCCAGAGCCTTTGCTGAGACCATTTTGGTCACGCATCACCTATTTCACAAATATAGTTAGTCAGCACATACCATCAAAAGACAGAGGTAAAAGAGAAAAGGGAAATAATGATGATTGCAAAGCGTAAAAGTTGATCAAATCACCTTGTACGAAGTAATTTTGCCAAAGTTGGAGAACAACTCACGAAGTTGATCATCTCCAATGCTATCATCCAAGTTCTTGAGGTACAAGTTCAGTCCTTGATATTTGTCAGCAGCATCTTTCAAGCTTTGCTCAAACCTCCTTTTTAGTTCCATCTCTCTTTCTGACTTCTTCTGAGCTCTTCCAACATACCACTCTTTGTCATTTATCTTCTTACCATCAAGTTCCTGAACAGCACGGGAAGCTGCATCCGGATTCTCAAAATTGATGAAACCAAAGCACCTTGATTTACCATCCATGCCAATCATTACAACAGCACTTGTAATACTCCCAT